GGCACAGTGTAGTATTGGGCAGCATTGAGACACTGGCAGCTTAACTTTGTGAATGCAGAGAAAACAACAATTAGCTCACTGTCTTTTAGTATTACTTTTAATAACAACATGTAACCTGACTAAAATGACCCATATGTTTCTTTTTTCTGGCTGCTGCTTTGTTTTCCATCACTGCTATTTTTTTCCTTTCTCCGAGTGAATGCTTTTTTAATTTTTCTTTTCCCCCTGTTCCGCCCTCCCTTCCTGCTCTGATAGAAGGCATTTGATTAGGGCGGTATTTTACTGTCTTGTTGTCTCCCTTAAGGACAAAATTAGGGAGTGGTAAACTGATGTTTCAGCACAGGGTACTGAACACTAATAGGGACTGCAACTTGTTTTAGGTATAGATTAGGTATAGATTATCAGAGCTGTAAGGGACCGTAGATGTCATCCTGTCTTTATTTGCTCCTTTCTTTGATGAAACTCATGGGAACCAGAGATGGGTTAGGGACTTATTTATAGTGGGGAAATGCCAGGTATAGGAGTAGGATTTCAGTGACCTTGTTCTTCATGATACTGATAAATAGTTTAGATTTATTCATTGTTTTAGATTATTTATAAATTGGATATTTAAGTCAAAGACTTCCAGTATGTGTTGATGAATGTATATAGTATATCATCTAGTTGTATAAACTAGTATGTGATGCTTCAGATCTCTCTCTCTCTCTTAATATGGCTCATGGTACTCACTTATCTGGGATTTGTATTTAGGGTGTTCAGTGAAACATGGGTTGGTTGACTGGATTGTTTTTTTGCCAACTTTATAAATAAACAGGCCTTTAAAAAATAATTTATAAACTGCCCCTTTGCCATGAGACCAGAGGAACTGAATGGTGCCAGACTACCATTACTGAACATTTTGATCAAAGATTCTACAGAAGAATTCTGATCAAAAGGGGGAAAATGCAGAACAGAATTAAAAAATCTCATAGAATCCAAACTTTCTGGAGCCACGAAGGCTGGATGAACCCCTAAAACTATTGCCCTAAGATAATCTTTAAACCTTAAACCAAAAATATCCCCTAAAGTCTTCTTAAAACCAAGTAATAGTTCAGCTTAACTAGTAACAAATGTCTGCCTTGAACGTGATGCTCTTTTAAGATCTATCTATATGGGATCAAACTGACAACAGCAGCTCCAAAGAATAGATAGGAAACTTAGGGGACAGTGAGAAAACTCAGAAAAAGAGGGTGAGAATGGTTGCACAACTTGAAGAATGGAATCAGTGTCACTGAATTGTACATGTAGAAACTTTAACTGGTGTGTGTTTTGCTGTGTATGTTCTCAACAATTATGGTAAAATTAATTATTTTTAAAAATTTATACAATTTTTTTTTTCCCTTGAGAACCTGGAGTCAGATTTGGGTTCAAATTCGGGCCGTTTCACTTACTGACCTTGGGTTAGTAAACTAACCTCTCTGAGACTTTATTTCTCATCTGTAAAATGATGATGATAATTGTACTTACCTCCTAAGAGTTATTCTCAGGATTATTGTGAGATAACAAGTCTGAAGTGCTCAGCACAATGCCTATCAAAGCATAAAGTACTCAGTAAATTTTAGCTATTAATATTTCTCACAGATGTGAAGATGTGAAACATTAAAATATTTGGCTAGAGCTATAGAAATTTAAAGAGTAATTTAAAATTCCTTAAAAGATAAAATGGTTGGATTGTAAAACTTCACAATACAGTAAACACACTGATTCTCTGCAAAGTCGTTTACTCAAAGAACCTCAATTTACTTTGTCATTGACCTGCAAATTTCAAGGACTTTTGAGAGATTTTTTTGGTAGGTGAGTTTATATGTATTTGTTATTACTGGAACTAAGGAAAATATTTGGCCTCATATGAAAGCTGAGGCGATATAAAGACTGCTTAAAAAATAATGCAATATGAGTAGCTTGCTTAGCCTCAAACCTGGAAAGCAATCAAATCTTGTCACCCTTCACTT